ACTGCACTCCAGTTAGGGCGACAGAGTGAGACGCTAACTCAAAAAAAAAAAAAAAAAAAAAAATTTCTTTAAAAAACAAACTTGCGGCCGGGCTCGGTGGTTCAGCCTGTAATCCTAGCACTTTGGGAGGCCGAGGTGAGTGGATTACCTGAGCCTCGTCTCTACAATAAATCAAAAACTAGCCGGGCATGGTAGTGCACGCTGTAGCTCTGGCTATTTGGAAGGCTGAGTCGGAAGGTCAAAGCTGTGGTGGCCGGGAGCATGCCACTGCACTCCAACCTGGGTGAGAGTGAGACTCCAACTCAAAAAATAAACAAACACCTGGGTTCAGTAGCTCAGCCTGTAATCCCATGCTTTGGGAGGCTGAGGTGAGTGGATTGCCTGAGCCCACGGGTTTCAGACCCGCCTGGGCAACTTGGCGAGACATCATCTCTACAATAAATCAAAAATTTGCTGGGCGTGGTAGCGCGTGCGCCTGTAGTTCCAGCTACTTGGAAAGATGAGGCAGAAGGATCGCCGGAGCCCAGCAGGTCAAGGCTGCGGTGGCCGGGAGCGGCCACTGCACTCCCTCTGGATGACAGAATGAGACTCCAACTAAAAACAAAACAAAACAACAAACAAACAAATAAGACAAACTTGCAGACCGTGTGTGGTGGCTCAAGCCTGTAATCCCAGCACTTTGGGAGGCTGAGGCAAAAGGATTGCCTGAGCCTAGGGGTTCAAGACCAGCCTGGGCAACTTGGTGAGACCTTGTCTCTACAATAAATCAAATTAGCCAGGCGTGGTAGCACAAACCTGTAGTTCCAGGTACTTGGAAGACTGAGGCAGAAGGATCTCCTGAGCCCAGCAGGTAGAGGCTGCAGTGGCCATGAGCATGCCACTGCACTCCAGCCTGGGTGATGGAGTGAGACTCTAACGCAAAAAATAAAAATATTTTAGCTATATGTTAAATTTATCTTAAAATGTTCTGTAAGTATTATATTTAGCTAAAAGAATAATCTTTTAGCTTGTTTACACTGTACGGCAATTTTTTTTTTGAGTTGGAGTCTCACTCTGTTGCCCAGGCTGGAGTGCAGTGGCATGCTCATGGCCACCCCAGCGTTGATCTAGTGGGCTCAGGCAATCCTTCCATCTCAGCCTTTCAAGTTGGCAGAATTATAGCAGTGCACTACCATGTCCAGGTAATATTTTGAATTATTGGAAAGACAAGGTCTCGCTAAACTGCCCAGGCTGGTCTCGAACTCTTGGACTCAGGCAATCCTCTCACATCAGCCTCTCAAAGTGCTGGGATTACAGGTGTGAGCCACATCACCCGGCCATTGTAGGGTAATTATTCACGCTTTTATTAACGTACTGTTTGCACTGGTTTGTGATCTGTAAGATAGTTTTTCTTTTTTTTTAGTTCGAGTCTCACTCTGTCATCCAGGCTGGAGTGCAGTGGCAAGTTCACGGCCACCACAGCCTTCACCTGCTGGGCTCAGGCGATCCTTCTGCCTCAGCCTTCCAAGTTGCTGGAACTACAGGTGTGTGCTACCACACCTGGCTAATTTTTTTTTTAATTAGAGACAAGGTCTCGCCATATTGCTTAGGCTGGTCTCGAACCCCTGGGCTCAGGCAATCCTCTTACCTCCACCTCCCAAAGTGCTGGGATTATAGGCATGAGCCACCAGGCCTGGCAAGACAGTGTTTCAAACTAACATAACTGGTTAACTCTCAGCAGGCACACTCAACTCCCTAACCATGTGGACAGACTGATTACATTGGAATGTGGTTTGTGAGTGTTGCAGCACTTGTCTGTGGCTAATATCACACCAACTCTGGGATGTGAACAGACTATCTAAGGACACTTCACGTCCTACTTTCTCCATGTTACTGTTTTTGTATGTTCCCAGTAACTTCAACCACCACTTGTGTTTCCATGCCTTTGTTTAATCATAAAGTGAAAGGAAACTTGTTTCAGATGAAATACAGTGTTATCAACAGCTTTGAATTCAAAGACCTCTGAGCTGAGGGCTTCAGCTGACTCATATGGAACAACCGACAGACCCTGCCCCATGCTGCACAGACACCAATGTGCGGGTGGCCGTGGGCTAACCGGATTCCACCAGCAGTGTTGCAATACACATGGTATAGGCACAAGCATGTCGCTTTTTAAAAACTCCAAGGCTAGGCGCAGTGGCTCAGTCTGTCACCCCAGCACTTTGGGAGGCCAAGGTGAGAGAACTTCTCAGGGGTCTGACTCAGCAATAAATAAATAAATAAATAAATAAATAAATAAAAAGTAGCTGGGCATGGTGGCATGTGCTTGTGGTTCCAGCTATGTGGAAGGCTGAGGCAAAAAGATCGCCTGAGCCTAGGAGGTCGAGGCTGCAGTAGCCGTGAGTGTGCCAATGTGTTCCTACTAGGGTGACAGAGTGAGACTCAGAGAAAAAACAAAAAAACAAAAAACCCCTCAAAACTCAAGGCTGGGTGCAGGGCTCAAGCCTGTATCCCAGAACTTTGGGAGGCTGAGGTGGGAAGACTGACTGAAGCCAGGAAATCAAGACCAGACTGGGCAACGTAGTGAGACCTCATCTCTACTTAAAAAAATAAAGAGCACGATTGTCTAAGGAACTGTGTTTGTATTCCTTCTAAGTGGTTAATACTCCTGACCAAGACTTTAGATTTTAAATGCATCAGCATATTTACAGTAATCCGTAATTGACACTAGCACAGACTACAGTTCCAGGACACCATTTCACTCACCAACCTGCCAACGTTCATCACATGCTTCTATTTGCCAGCCACACTTTGGCTGTGACAAAATTATCTTAGGTGTCCAAGAGAAACCGAAGCCTCACTCCTGGACCTAAGTGGGGCTGCTACCACGCAGGATGGAGCAACCCAGGACACCAGGTCCACAGGGAGGGGAGGAGACTGAGCTGAAAAAAAAGGCGCTGAGTGGGTCTAGGCATGGAACGGCTGGCCCCTAGGCTTGCAGTCAGAAAAATTCAAGTTGTCTACATTTGAAGTAGCTTCAACCAGGTCTTGTCTTCTCTCTCTCGCATAATTCCTAGTGCGACAGTATCTCTAACGATGAAGTTTTCTATGGGCGAGGACCCCATTTTTATTTCCCTCACAATTCTAGATACATTTTACGGGCTCTGACAGAAAAGCAGGAAAATCAAACTGTGGAGATGTGAAAGGGCGAAGATTTTTTTTTTTTGAGTTGGGAGTCTCATTCCCTCACCCAGGCTGGAGTGCAGTAGCACATTCACGGCCACCGCAGTCTTGACCTGCTGGGCTTAGGCGACGCTTCTGCCTCAGCCTTCCAAGTAGCTGGAACTACATGTATGCGTCACCAAGCCCAGCTAATTTTTTGATTTCTTGTAGAGATGAGGTCTCACCAAGTTGCCCGGGCTGGTCTCAAACCTGGGGGCTCAGGCAATCCTCTCACCTTGGCTTTCAGAGTGCTGAGATTATAGGCGTGAGCCACTGCGCCTGGTCTAGAACTTACATTTCTAAACTTAGCTGTCCATGAATCCATGTGGTCCAGAAGTTGTCTATTCATGGTTACTCTTGCCCACACCTATTAAAAACACATGTTTAAAATGAACAATCAGTGAGGAAAACTCTTGCCAGAAATCATTTTTCATCATCCTAAAAAATATTGAATGAACTTTGAAAAAAGTCCTCTTGAACATTAATATTCAGTAATTTTTGTATTATTCACTTATAGCTGCTGTTCACACACAGATATCTCTTTAAGTTTCTTACATTGGTATGTTTAAAGAATATTTTCCTTAAGAACAAAATTAAAATCCTATACTTGCTATTAAAGAGATGAATTATAGACTGACAAATGTTCTACCTCATCTGTATTTTGGAAGCAAGAGTCTGGTAAAAAGTGCTTCAGGCAGGGCACTAATGTCAATTACGTGTCTTAGAGTAAAATGTACAATGTAATTTGGTTTCAGGTTCACAAAGTATGACAGGACCTTTCCTGCTGTTTAATGTGTGCGACATTGACATTTCTCTCCAATAAAAGTGAAGACTGCAGAAAAAGGTTCCTGAGGTAGCAAGACTTCCCAGCACTCCGCCATCAGGGCTCTTTTCTTTGCACTCACCTCTTCAGCAGCTTGCTTGGAGCTGAGATCAGCCTCATCTTTGTTGGCACAGGGGGCCTGAGACCGACAGGCGAGCTGATACTGAAACTTCTTTAAAGTCTGCGCGTAGTCCCCCATGGAGCGGCTGTAGTTCCAGAAGGTGGGGCTGCTGGAGGGCGAGGCGGAGTCTGGGCTCCCTATGAGGAGTAGCGCACAGGATCAGCCTGACAGGGCACCTGGACCCTTCAGCATGGGCTATCGAGGATGGAGGTAACGGCCATCACAGAGTTGGAAGACAAACCCGCCAGGCGCTTCTCCTCCTCCCCTACACGACCTCCTCTCCAGAAAACAAGGGACGCTTGTGTCAGAAATGGGAGAGGGCATCATCTGAGCAGAAGAGCAGTAAGTGGCTGAAGGTAGCTGTTTGTTTTTGTCATAAGATTAAGCCTGGGTCATTCTCTAAGACTTTTAAATAATTCCGTAAGAAACAAACAAAAACCAAATTTCTTGGGGAAACAAATTGGCCAGGTGAGTTCCTTGTGTGAATTTTTTTTTTTTTCTTTTTTGAGTCAGTCTCACTCTGCTGCCCGGACTGGAGTGCAGTGGCACAATCACGGCCACCACAGCCTTGACCTGATGGCCTCAGGCGATCCTTCTGCCTCAGTCTTCCAAGTAGCTGGAACCACACAGGTGTGCAACACCACACCCGGCTAATTTTTTGACTTATTGTAGAGACAAGGTCTCGCCAAATTGCCCAGGCTGGTCTCCAACCTGTGGGCTCAGGCAATCCTCTTGTCTATGCCTCCCAAAGTACTGGGATTACAGGTGTGAGCCACCATGCCCAGCCCTTGCATGAATTTCTAGAAGCTCCTTCTGAATGAGATAACCATAGCCTCCTACTGGTAGCTCTCTCTGGGCTCAAGCTAAACTCATAAATCCCTGTGCTACATTCTGTTTTATTTAATCACCTGTAGTAAACCCTGCATTGCAGTAAAAGATAATCTGCTGAGGTTGCTTCTGAATGTTTACATTTAGGCAGCATGAACAGGCCACATCTGGAATGGATTACACTCAGGTTACAGTCTGTTTTTCCAAATAGAACATGAGCTCCCTGAGGGCAGGGGCTCTGTTTCGAGCACCCAGCACGTGATCTGAGTCAACAAGCAAGTTTTCAATGAAAGGCTTGTATTTTCAGGGCATAACTGATATAAAAACGTAAGTGGACATTTTATACCCTCACACAAAAGCCACAAATATAAAGTATTTCTTTGAAAAATCACACCATGATTTCTTAAAGGAGTGACTACAAAATAATAAAATTAAGTTTCATACAATGTGCATAAACACGAAGGATGAGAAATCACAAAAGGGGACGTACAGCATTTCCATTCAAAACCTTGAAGGATAGCTAGTGTGGCACTAGGAGCTTTGGTGAATGTAGCATGTTTCACGCTGGCATAAAAATAAACTTACACAGAGTAAAGAAATAGCTCACTTTGTGTGAAGTTAAATTTCCAAATAGGACTTCTGACAAGATGGACTTTAGGAATGAATTAATGTCAAGAAAAGAAGTTGTAAGCCAACATAAATGATGTAGTAAAAGGGGCAGGAAAGGAAAGAAGAAACCCCTGTCATGATACAGCATACAGTTACCCTAGTGAAGCTTTGTGAAAAAACTTGACCTTGAGAAAAATGTCACTGAAGATTTGCTTTAGATAATAAATAGAAACAAGAAGTCTGAATACCTGTTAGGCATTAATCAGATAAAGAGTATACAAGGCTGGGCATGGTGGCTGACGCCTATAATCCCAGTGCTTTGGGAGGCCGAGGTGACAGGATTGCCTGAACCCACGAGTTCGAAAATAGCCTGGGCAACTTGGCTAGACTTCTTCTCTACAATAAATCAAAATAAATGAGCTGGGTGTGGTGGCCCGTGCCTGTAGTTCCAGCTACATGGAAGGCTGAGGCGGAATGATTGCCTGAGCCCAGCAGGTCAAAGCTGCATTGGCCATGACTGTGCCCCTGTACTCCAGCCTGGATGACCAAGTGAGACTGACTCAAAAGGAAAAAAGTATATATAGCAAACAATGACTAAACAGGGTCTTTCCATAACTACCCCCCCCACCAGATCTGAAACATCCTCCACCATAAATATCTAAAAATGTTTATCAGATACATTATTTACTTATTTAGAAAATATAGTTTAAGCCGGGCTTGGTAGCTCAGTCTGTAGTCCTGCACTTTGGGAGGCTGAGGTGAGTGGATTGCTTGAGCCCGCGGGTTCGAGGCCCGCCTGGGCAACTTGGCGAGACCTCATCTCTACAATAAATCAAAAATTAACCGGGCGTGGTAGCGTGTGCCTATAGTTCCAGCTACTAGGAAGGTTGAGGTAGAAGGATCGCTGGAGCCCAGCAGGCGAGGCTGCGGTGGCCAGGAGCGGCCACTGCACTCCAGTCTGAGCAACAGAGTGAGACTCCAACTCAAAAAAAAAAGAATATATAGTTTATTTAAAAAAAGGTATATTAGAGAGAGAAAGAGGATTCACCTCCCCAAGGTAGGGAAGGGGACCAAAGCCAGGAAACATGGCAACAACCACAGCTCAAAGAGCACATGGCCACACCACAGTCCAGGAAGGCAATGGCAGATTCATTATTTAAATAATGGAGTGTATTAAAAAAAAAAAGCAAGGCTATGGACAGCCAGCAGCTGTAAATGAAGAGGAGATTAAAGTCAGAGTGGCTGGTGAGCTGGTATGGCTACTCTGAGGGCTGCAGGCCTGAGAAATCTGTCCGCTTGGACGCCGTCACCCACCTGGAAAGTGGAAAGAAGGGCTTGGGCCTGGGGAGGAGAGTGCTAGATGGATACCTCACCCTGTCCCAGGTCAGCCCTCAGTACAGGTCCAGGAATCTCAAAGGGCCACCTTCTGAGTAGATAAGAAAAAAGTTATCCACAGGGACTAGGACATAAAGGAGGCTTGTCTGTCTTAAGCTATTGGGTCATTAAAAGAAAAACATCCCTGGAGATTTAAAAATTATAGGTTCATCTTCATGTCAGTTTAGAGTGTCCACTTATTCTACTGGTGGGGTCTAGCAGTCTCAAGTTTAGAAATGACTTAAGTTAGCTCAAGGTCAATGACGCTCGCTGGGCACCTGACAAAGGCAAACACAAATAAATGGCTAGGAAGAGACAAGCCTTCCATCTGCCTGCCCAAGCGACAGGGCACTGACAAAACTCTACTGAGGACATGCTTGCCAAAAACAAACAGGAAGTACAAAGTCACACAGAAATGAGCCTCCACGCATAACACGCCAACAAAAGTGGTCAGCATTTAGCCTCCAAGAACTTTAGTTAATTGAACTATTGAAGACTTTTTGTGTTTAGGCCGGGTGCAGTGGCTCATACTTGCAATCCAAGCACTTAGGGAAGCCAAGGCAGGAGGACTGCCTGAATCCATGACTTCACCAGCCTGGGAAACAGCCAGAACCCACCCCTAACAACAAGAAATATGTTTACAGTGGCCTGAATTCAGATACTGGCTCCTCCACTTACTTATGAATGGCTTTGGGCAAATTTCTTAGTCTCTTTGCTTAAGGTCAGCTATTTTCCAGTTGACCTTAGCTCTATCCTTTGCTAACATTAAATGAGTGTTGTCACCACTGGGTATGGTGGCTTACACCTATAATCCCAGCACTTTGGAAGAAAGAGGTGAGAGGATATCCTGAGCACAGGGGCTGGAGACCATCTCGGGCAACTTGGTGAGACCTCATCTCTACAGTTAAATAAATAATTGGCTGGGTGTAGTGGTGCATGCCTATGGTTCTGTTACTTGGTAGGTTGAGGCTGAAGGATCGCCTGAGCCCAGTAGGTTGAGGCTGTGAGCATGCCACGACACTCCAGCCTGGGTGACAGTAAGATTCTGACTCAAAGAAAAAAAAAAATAATTAATTTTTGGAGGGCAGACTCCTTGTAGTATAGGCTTTCCCCACTAGTTAAGTATTCTAGGAACCCACTGGCATCAGTGTACCAGCTAGCATTGTTGTGAGAGACCGCATGTGGCTTCGGTGAATTGTTTTGGAGATTCTTTCAATGCGCTGGCTCACTTTCATTTAATGAGTGCACCTGCCCACACTACACTGTGTGTTCAACAGTTTTTGATCAAAAGCAACATGATAGCCGGGCTCGGTGGCTCAGCCTGTAATCCTGCACCTTGGGAGGCTGAAGTGAGTGGACTGCCTGAGCCCGCGGTTTCGAGACCCGCCTGGGCAACTTGGCAAGCCCTCATCTCTACAATAAATCAAAATGAGCCAGGTGTGGGAGCGCGCACCTGTAGTTCCAGCTACTTGGAAGGCTGAGGTGGAAGGATCGCCGGAGCCCAGCAGGTCGAGGCTGCGGTGGCCAGGAGCGGCCACTGCCCTCCAGTCTGGGCGAGGGAGTGAGACTGCAACTCAAAAAGAAAAAAAAAGCAACGTGACCTCTGTGCCCTATCCTCCCTATTCACCCAATCTCGCCCTGGAGAATTTTTTTGGTTTCCCTGGATGAAGAAAGTCCTCGCCGAGCACAGTGGCTCACTAGGGAGGCTGAGACAAGAGGACTACCTGAACTCAGGGGAACCTCATCTATACAATATATAAAAAAATTAGTTGGGTGTGATGGCACACACCTGTAGTTCAGTTACTTGGAAGGCAGAAGTGGAAGGATCGCCTAAGCCCAGCAGGTCAAGGCTGCGGTGGCCAGGAACATGTCACTGCACTCCAGTCTGGGCGTCAGAGTGAGACTCCAGCACAACAACAACAAAAAAAAGAAAGAAAAAAGTCCTCAAACAGAAACGTTCTGCTACTGTGAAAGAAAGCGGTAAACAAAAAAAACCACAGACTTAAAAAGGCATCAAAACATCAGTTAAAAAACTGAACAGTGGAAAAAGCATCTAGATAGGTGTATTACATCACATGGAGAGTATTCTGAAGGTGACTGAAGTTTTAAACACGTAAAAATAAATACACAAATTTTTAAATAAATAAGTTCCAGGGTTTTTTCAGCCCCTCTCCCCCCTGTATAGTTCAGTAGGAAGCAAGAAGCAGATAACGTTTCTGTTTATTGTTTGGTACAAAACATATCATTATCTTGTTTGAAGTCTTTGTTAATCTACTTCTGCATAAACCAGAATTCATCACTCCAATTGGGCCTTATAAAAATGGGG